TTCTGTATGTTCTCACTGAACCCTGCCTCCCACCCCACTGCCGCCTCTCTGCAGCCCCCACTCCACCCCACTGCCACCTCTCTCTGCAACCCCCACCCCACTGTCGCCTCTCTCTACAGGCCCCCACTCCACTGCTACTCCCCACCCCACTGCCACATGCTCACTGCAGCCCCTGACTTCACTGCCACCTGCTCACTGCAGCCCTCCACCCCACTGCTGCCTGCTCACTGCAGCCCCCGACTTCACTGCCACCTGCTCACTGCAGTGCTCACGTTAGGTGGTTTTTCTGGCTACTCAGCAGAAACCTCAGAGTCCTCAACACTCACCTGCTGAGAAGGTCCCCTGGTCTACTTTGTGGACTCCGACCCCCCGGCCTGGGCCACCACCTCTTCCCGCAGCTTTCCCCCTGGACCGTGCCCAGCCCCGCTCCGTTCCAGCCTGTCCTCGGCATGGCGGCCAGTGTCCGCACCACAAACTGCTGGGCCCTGAAACACTCCCTAGCCCTGCAGGGGCTCCTTTCTCGCGGAGAGAGCAATCCAGAGTCCCGCAGCGTCTAGGTGGTGCTGTGGTGCCCGCCCCTGCCCGCATCACAAACCTGTGCTGTGAGTGTAGCAGAAAGGGACACTCCGTATTTAAGAGATTTACCCAATACGATAAGGGAGAGCGTTGAGGCTTTAACCAAAGTTTTGTACCGCACAGAAAACACCTCCTAATAAAGCTCTTGCTAGGGCCCGTCTTCCAACTAGAAGGCATTTGCCCTGACACCTCTTGGGGGCTGGTCTCCACTCAGTCTTGTTTCCCATGGGTTAGTGGTTCATCTGTATCTTTTCTCCTCTATTATAAGACACCTGTCACAGAAGATTAGGATTAGAACCCACCCTGTTTGGGTATAACTGATAACATCTTCAAAGAAGGTTCCCAGGTACACGTTCACAGGTGGGGGACACAGTTCACCCCGAAAAAGTAACTGACAGGAGAAACTCCTTCACCTTGGGGCAGTCCCAGCTCCCTATCGGTGAGGTCATTTCTTTAGAGATTGTGGTGGTTCTTCGTTTTCCTCACTTCAAGACCTGAGCTAAGTCTCACATGTTGCTTTCCTGTCTGGTCTTTAGGTGGATTGTGGAAATGGATCATCCCAGGTATCGAAGGGGTTGAATTAAAAGTCTTATAAAAATTTCAAGCAAGAGTTAGTTGGAACCCTGTCTCAAGAGTTGTAGTCCAGAGAAGCACACGTTAGGAGGTAGCAGGCTGTTTTGCCCGTTCACGTGGCACACCTCAGCGGTGCGACGTGGCTCTGCCTGGGAATTAGGAGAAGTGTTTATGCCAACACCGGCACGCCTGTATTATGTGGTAGCACACAGAGTTCATGTGGCCCTGTAAGAGAAAGCAGTCAGCTGAAAAGGTCAAGAGTAGGTGTGGGCCACTCGGAGCCACACCCTTGACTTGGGGTGACTCTTTAGTGTCTTGGCCACTAGGGTATTTCAGCAGGAACGTTTGAAAAGCACTGACAAAATCTAAGCTATAGACCTTATGACTTCTGGTAAAATTGTCGTTTTCTTTAAATTAAAAAAAAAGAAAGTACCTGGGCTGTGCTAAGAGGAGCACACTGTCATTTATCAAGTGCCTTGTACTGTTCTCGATGGTCTCAGCACTACCATTCCATACACCCAGCAACTGTGAGAGCAGCCATGTTCTCCTAAAGAGGAAACGGGTCCCTAGAGGTGGGCTGGTGAAGTTTGTGCATGAATAAACCCCTAAGAAGTTGAAGGGCTGGGGTCCGAGCCCAGGTGTCCTAGAACCAAAACCCAGTAGTAATTAATAATGACACAGTCAGAGTTGTTTCATATTTTGGCCTTAAAAATGTTTTCTAGCCTGTTTGTCAAGAGAGGAACCATAAGCAGAAAAAGTCTGTGGAGAAAAATGTTTCTTAAGAATAACATGCTAGCAGACTTTTAGTTGTTTTCAGTGAAAATGTCTAAAAGTAAAGGACCATGTATTTTTGCAGCTATCTAAACACGATTGTCTACCTTAGTAGGAATTTTATAATAAAGATGTAAGTTTATGTATTTTTGTGATAGAAAAGTGTAAGCAGACATCTCATCATACCGTATGTTACACAAATAATGCACGCCTTCCACGTTTGTTTGCCAACCAACGCCCTCTCCCCCCCGAGGTATTTTTGTAAGTACCGCTAAAATTTGCATAATGTAGAAGGCAGCGTTATTTGCGTAAAAATGCGGTACTTATTTTAAAAACTGAAGATAGTTTTCTAGAAATGTGGACTCTCAGTTTGTCAAAGCCTTGGTTCAGGCTCACATGATGGTTTTTGAAATCCCAGCGTAGTTTTCTTGGTTTAGAGGTAACTTCAGTCTGAACTGTATTGATTCATTCTATAAGAATTATTTTTATTTATGCTGATCTGTTCCCCCAAATATCACTTGTTGTTGTTAGTTGCTGTCGAGTTGATTCTGACTCATGGCGACCCCATGTGTCAGAGTAGAACTGCTCCATAGGGTTTTCAAGGCTGCAGCCTTTCAGAAGTGGATCACCAGGCGTGTCTGCCAAAGTGCCTTGGGGTGGGTTTGGCCTGTCTGCCAAAGTGCCTTGGGGTGGGTTTGGCCTGTCTGCCAAAGTGCCTTGGTGTGGGTTTGAACCGCCAACCTTCCGGCGAGTAGTCGAGCGCTTAACCGTTTGCTCCACTACTCCAAGGCTGCTCCAGTAGCCATTTCGTGAAATGATTTCTCATTGTTCTTTTTAACGTAAAACAATGGCGCGTCTCCCTTCGACAGGCAGGCCGTTTGTTCCTGGGTATCACTGACGTCATGACGTCAGTCAGCACGCTTTAGTCGTCACTGAACGTAAGCGGATCACACGCTGAACGCGCCGTCCTGAGCTGCCATTTGGAGTACGGCAGCAGCTGCGCTTCTCTCTCATCAGTGCTTTTTTGGGAGGAGAGCGAGAAGTAAAGCAGCGTATCTTTGAAGAACAAAGTAGCTTCTGTTTTGGAAATAAAAATACACGAGATAGTGTAACAGGGGAAGAGCTACCTTGATTATCATAGCACCACCCAGGGAAATCGCCTTTCCTTACACACTGAGTGGGGCGAGGGGGGGCTCCTTGTTCATTCCTGTCCAAATTTAAAAGGGTGAAGATTAAGAGAAAATATCTGCCAAAAAAAAAAGGAAATGAGAATTATAATTGTTTCGATAAAATTTTTTAAAATTATACCTCTCTTTAAAAGAACTAATTGGCTGTATCATCACTGTGTGAAATTGTCTTACTCAGAACTTGTTTCAGTCAGCTCTAGAAAGTATAATAGAATCAAATCAGTTTGTGCTTTACTGAGTAAAAGAAAGCCCCTGTTGCGTTAGTGCAGTTCTGTGTTTTCCCATAAATTACCTTTCTGTAGAACTTTTAATATTCTAGTTGCTGGGTTTTTTGTTCTGTTTTGTTTTCCTTTTTGAGAGGCATTTCTCATGGCTTGTACTCAAGCCCGTGAAAGCCTTGGTACATCTCTCCGTCGCGGGCTGTAAATCCTCTGGCGGGGAGCTCTCCTTTGGTTCCAGGGAGCAGGCAACGTCCTGTTCTTCCTCCTTGCTGCTGGAGTTCCTGATCAGTGGCATCTACTCCTGCTGCAAACCCCCAACAGCCATGCCTGGGTTATACTCTGACTTCATCTATCTGAGAAGGCCATTGGCACTTGTTTCTAAGACGCTTGGTCACTGTGTTCCCATGAGGAACTTTCTCACCATATAGAGTATGTTTCCCACACACATTAAAGGGCAAAGTTGTTAGATTTTTGGTTTTGGTTTTTTTTAAAAAAACATACAAGCATGGTTCAAATCCAGATGTTCATGCGGTTTATTTTTTGCTGTAAACAGTTCATAGAATAAATAGTAATTTTATAGAAGTTGGAACACACCTTTTAGGACTTTTATATAAGGGATTCTTGGCAGTGGTTAGAGGTTGAGCTGGATTCTGAGCCAGCAGTTGGTGATGTGCGATATTGGAGCCCAGGTCTGTGCCCAGGTGAGGAGTATGGAGGATGCAGAATTTTCACAGCTGCCAACACCCATCGCTGTATTGTGTCCAGGTGATAAAATGGGAGAGGCTGACTCTGTTCTGGGCTGGTTGGCTGTGACTTTACGAGGTTCCGTTTTAGAAAAGATACAACTGTAGTGCATAGAAGAACGTGGCCGGGATGATAAAGAACTGAAAACCACCAAGAAAATTAAGTCTCAGGAAGAGTCAGACAGCCATATGTATTTGGAGAGGATGCGAGAAAGGTGCTGAATGTGTTTCAAGAGGGCAGAACGGGAATGACCAAAAATAGAAAACAGGAGATGGATTCTGACCAACATAAAAGCTTTTCGACACGTAGTTTTTTGAAAATAGAATGTATTGTTTTGGGAGGTAGGTAGTGGGTCCCAGACACTTGACATGTCCAGTGGGAGATGGGCAGTTACCTGGCAGAGAAGTAGTGAAAGTAAGAGAGGCAGGATAAGGGTCCTTCCGGGTCTCAGTTCCATGACTCGGAGTGGGGCCCCCTGAGCTAGCAGGACTCCCTCAAGTCCAGGGTGGGCCTGGAGGGGGCGATGGCAGAGGGCCAGAGAAGGGGGAGCCCTGAGAACTTGGTTCTCTCGGAACATGGGCTGCTAGGGTTCCATCTCGTTTGAGTCTGCTAGTTCTATGAGCTGGTGAACTTAAGTGCATCCTAACGAAGGAATCGTGCTGGTTAGTGCTTGATTGCAAGAGGTCAGTTCCTGCTCCTTTGTGCCACAGCCCATGGAGGGCAACCTGGGTGTAGAGCAAAGGCCTTTTTTTTTTTTAGGTAACTTATTTGAAACTGTAGAGATACTAAATGCCTAAGTTCCATCGTCTTCCAGCGGTGATTTTGCATTAACTTTCTGTGCGTGTGCGTGTCTGCCTGTCCCACCTGTGTGCTGTCTGTTGTCCGGGAGGCCTTCGCCGAGTGGAAAGTGGAGTTGATCTGTTGTTAGTTGCAGGACGAGGAGCGGCGGAGGCAGCAGCAGCTGGAGGACATGCGGCAGCGGGAGGCGGAGGACCGCGCCCGCCAGGAGGAGGAGCGCCGGCGGCAGGAGGAGGAGCGCGGGAGGCGGGACGCCGAGGAAAAGGTCCTGGTCCTCTAAGGAGCTAGAATGTACCACGTAGCCTGAGCATGGTGGTTGGCCGGGGTGAGGGGATAGGTGTCTAAGATGCTCACGGCAGAGCCGGGCCTGGGCCTCAGCTTTCCGACTGGACCAGAAACTCTCCCTGGCCGCGCCCAGCTACCCCTCTTCTGAACTCTATCTCCAGACCTCCTCTGAGCTTGTCTCCCGCAGACCTGTGAACTCGCAGATGTTAGCCTGAGCCTCTCTGCAGACGGCCCTTGACCCCGGCGGTCCTTCCTGGGCCTGGCCCAGCTGCTGTGATGTTTGTTCAGTTACTTTTAAAACTGAGTGTCAACCGTGGGTGGCAGTAGGAATGCAGTAAGAGAGTCGCTGAACACTGAACATTTCAAATAGATTATTTACTAGAATTTTACAATTCCAGTTTATGTCAAGGAAAGCAAAGTGGCTTATAAAACATTATCTAGGATAATTTAGTTTAGTATGTAATCTGATAGATGATGAGTTATTAGTTAATAATTTATTTCCAGGTGTTATTTTTTTTCAAGTAATCTAATTTTCACGTGTTGTCAGAATTGGAAAACTTGCCAATGTTGTTCTCCAATCTTTGGTCTCGTTTCATCTTGTTTGTTCCTAGCTAAGCTCTGATATGAGGGAGGCTCTGACTGGGAGTTCGTTTTTCTGTCCCGAGAAGATGCACGTTGTTGTCTGTGCTTCTGGAGAAGCCGTTCTTCTTTCTCTGTTACTTCCTTCTGTGAAGGCAGAAGCTTCGAGTGCCACAACTTCTGATGGGGACAAAATCCTTTTTTATTTAGAATTCCCTCCTTGATAGTCCAGTGAAGGATAGTAGGACAATACACTACCCCCAACTCCCCGAAAAAAAAAAAAAAAACCCACCTTTTAGGAAGCGTTTTGTAGTACTGTCTGTTAGGGTACAGAACAGTCTAAGAGTAAGATTGATAGATACTGTGTGACTCATTTAAATGGAAGTAGATTGAATAATGTAATGACCTATACCTGTATTGAAATCAGTGATTTTTAAGTTTTATAGACCGTCACCATCTCTAACAGTGTATGACTGTTTTATCTGTTGTATCTGAACAGCTCCTGGAATGTTCACCAAGGGTTTGAGCTTTCAGGACTCCCAGACCCTCTGAGTCTCTCAGTTGCATAGTGTTAAGTCGAGATTGGAGATCTTTTTAAGGAAATCGGATTTCCACATTTTTGACATTTGAGCCACTTGCCAAATTTTTACAGTGGTTAGTTTTTTTTTTTTTTGGCTTTTCCGCGGAAGCCCCTCTTGGCAGTTTGAGGATGTCCTCTCCCGACTCAGGGCTGACTCAGATGCTGTCCGCTCTACAACGCCTAGAGCCTGCGCTGGGACGGTGGCCGCTGCAGGAGCAGGACGCGGCAGAGCAGTCGGGTTGTGTTTGCGTGTTGAGAAATTCTCAGTTACTTGCTTTTTCCACACGCATTCTCACAACTCATAATCACATCCAAGACACGTGCATTTTAGCAGCTGCTTCTCTGACTGTTGATGTAAAAAGAAGCTCCACAACTTATTTTTCTACAGACTGTCCAGAAGGGATGGGTGTGCTTTGTCAGAGACAAATGTGCCCTTTGGGTAGCACAGTTTCCTTGGCCATGTCATTGTACCTGCTCTTCTGTAATAAAGACGTGTTTTGGTTTCCCCCTCAAAGGTTGTCAAGCAGCTGTTCCTCATGTAACGTGAGGTTCTTGACGGTTGGTGTAAACACCACTAGAGTCACACTGGCGTCAGTCCCCACCTCCCAAGCGAACATTGCCCGTACGGAGACAGGAAGTAAAGCTGCCTTCTCTTCAGGGTTTCTCAGCACAGCAGGAACAAGGAGTCAGACATGGGGCCAGGGTGGTGGCGGGGCCTGCGTGTGGGCCAGCGGCTTCTCCTGCAGAAGGGGGAGCACTGGTGCTTGCGTCCTCAGTGTGGATGTGTGGGGGTGTCCTCTGGGTGGGTATGGGTGTGTGGGTGTGT